TATCTATCTATCTATCTATCTATCTATCATATATCTATCTATCTATCATATATCTATCTATCTATCTATCTATCTATCTATCTAAACTAGAAGGTCTTAGCTTTTAAATGAGATATATGAAATGCATGTGGAATATTAAAATTAAAATTTCCACTTTTTTAACTAGCTCCAGAGGCAATTTGCACATCTGTCTAAATTAAAAAATCTTTAAAACAATAATTTGAATGCAATTTTGTTCTAATTGTGATGAAGTGATCAGAATATCCCGACTGGCAGAACGTGACAATTTTAATTCAATTGGCCATTTAATCCTGCTATTTATGTCCCTGCTATAGATTTAAACAAATGATTACATTTACGATTATTTGTGGATTAATGGTTTATTAACATTAGTTTGACCCAACTAACTGATAACGTCCACTTAAACAAGTGAATGCACTAGTGTGGTTTGGTGTAAAATTAAAATTCAATTGGCCCTCCCAAACTTAGGCTACTTCTTAATGTCATCATTTTTGCATTTAAATAAAAGAAAACATCAATGCTATGCAAACATGCAATGTAACCAGCATTGATATAAAGAAAAGATTCGTTGTCTACACTTGTGTATACAAAATAAATCTAAGTCTAACCCGAACCCAGCACCCTTTATTGTACAAGTCAGTGTTTATATAAGAGGCTGGTTTCATTCAACTGACATCTGGGTTACGGGCTAAGCGCACCTTTGCTGCACCACTCTGCTTGCAAACAACTCAGAAGGGACTTGAACCCACAATCCTCTGTGTACACTCTGAGTTCCAGCTCTCATAACACTGGTGGACCTAGCAGGTCCTGTTGGTGCAGTAGGCAGTCTCATAAACTGAAGGTTAAGAGTTCAGCCCTCTCAAGGGTCCATTTTCCGACTCAAATGGCTAAATGGATCTGATCTGACTACAGGTCAGAAGAATCAAGGTTTGACTCCTGTCTAGCACAGTTGTCTTATCTCTGTGTGCCTAATACTAGTCCTCTGGTCCGCCATTCTCCCACACACTTGAAATGAATGCAGTTTGACACCATGTCATTATTGTTCAAAATCCAACACAGAAGGGAGAAGAACAGGTACAAATAGCCTGTCATCGGTCGGGGATGCAAGTCTTTGAAGATTCACAGTTATGTAGGACTTGGTAACTTGAAAAGACATTCAAATAAACTACTGCAGTCAAGAGTTGCTGTTTAAAAACTTTGCACTCTTCATCTGAAGGGCCTATTCAGTTCACAGATAGTAGAGGGATAAAACTCAACATGCCTCACCTTTTGGAGAAGCTCAGTTCTGCATAGTTTAGTTCACATTGGACACCCTTTACAAGAAGGCAACTTTAGTGTCATTTTTGGCTTTGCTTACAGAGAGATGGTTGTTTATACTATATAGTAAAGAACATTGTCTCTAGCACTGATCCCTGTGGAACTTTACAAGTATCACTGGAGCCAATTGTTGTGCTCTGTAGGAATCGGTTTCACAAAGAGATGAAAATCTATATGGCTGCCATGCTGCTTGCTATCCATGCGGATAAAACCATCATCTGGTTTGGAACACAGGTGATTTTTTTACTCCTACAATCATACTTTTTTTAATATATATATTTTTTGTAATGTTAATTAAAGGCTCGAGGAAACACCAAGCGTACTGTAAAGCAGGGGTAGGCAAGATGGTTTTCACAATCAATTTAGATGTGATTCCTAAGGGATATGAACTGCCAAAATATATCATAAAAAAGTAGTATTCATTTATTTTAATCTGAAAAACTCACACGGAGAGAAAAGACAATTAGAAGAAGTCTAATTAGTTTAGTATTTGCCGCTCAGACCTCAGCAGGAAACTTAGCGCTGAATTTTGATTTGATATGCATGAACAGGAGTAGACCCCCTCCCAGGCCTGAAACTGGTGGTGGAGTGGAGATAGATGAAGTTGGTCAGTCTGGAGACTGCTGATTAGCAGTATGTTGATGGGGAGATCCAGTGGACTGTGTGAGCTGAAGTCCAGCTTGGATAACACGGGTTGAGAGAACCTGTCCATGATGAGCAAGCATGAAGCGACAGTGGAGAGGAAAAGCTCCCCATTGGGAAGAAACATTTGGCAGAACCAGGCTCAACATGGCGGTCTTCTGCCCGACCGGTTGAAATGAGATGCAGAATGCAGTAAGAGTCCAGGAGGAATAACGCTCTGATGAAGCTTTAGCTACGATGGTGGAGGAGGAGCTGGAGGTGGGTTAAAACAGGGTCAGCTTAATGAAGTCACACAGTGCAACCACCGCCTGCACACTAGGTAGCAGACAAGTTGCAGATCAGAGGCCTTTTAAGATGATGTTTGGATGCTGATTGGCTTTCATTGAGGCGTGGTTCAAAGCTGATTGGCTGTGTCGCAGCTGGATGAAGGCGAGTTATCAGTTTATTCTGTTGAACTACCGCCTAGGCTCCTTTTATCTAATCTTTGATTCAAATATTCCCTAAAATTTTAAAATTCACAATTAAATAAACTTATATGTATCAATAGGGAGTAGGGAAGTAATTCTATGTATTCTATGTATCAATTCTATTCTATTTTTAGGGGGTGGCCAGTCGCTCACTTTCTTCTTAAAATCATGGTTTAAAAAAAGAAAGAAATCTTAATTTGTGACAATTACATTTATTAAATGGTTTGAATGCCTTTATATTAGTGCAATATGTACTTAATCGTTTTCCCTTGTCGCGATTTAAGTAATTTATCATTCAGCTTTATTATTAACACATAAAGCTGAGATTCTTTTCTTTTTTTATGTGCTGATAAAGCACATTTGACACAGTTACCACATCCAAGCCAGCGAGCGTGTCTGGATGCTTAGTGCTCGCAGCGGTTCACATTTAGGTCACACTACTGCTGTATTATCACGTTGGTTACATCACCAACTTGATCTCCCCACTCGACCTCTTTTTACTCTCAGCCCTGCTCTCTGTACATGCCTCTCTTTATCTTTACCTTAGAAGTGGATATGAAACGCACCGGGGGGGTCACCCACACTGTAAAAATGTAAGAAATATGTAAAAAAAAAAAAAGGCCTAAATTAAGTATATTTTTTCTAAATTTGAGTAGGTAAATAAGATTTGCCAATGGAATGAGTATTTTTACCCTTAAAATAAGGTACTTAGATAATATACACTTGAAATAAGACAATGAAATTCTTTTCTTCTTCTTTTAAATGTAAATTGTCTTGTTCCATTGGCAAAGTGTCTCTTTTACCTCCTCAGTGTAAGGAAAAAAATGCACTTATTTTAAAAGAAAATTACTTATCCAGATTTGTATTTTTTTCCACCTTTTTCCCACTTCCCCTCCTGTCAGCTACTCTGACATCATGATCGAGCGCGAGATCCTCATGCAGAAGTACATCCACCTGGTCCAGATCTTGGAGACTGAAAAGATCGCAGCCAATCAGCTTCGCACTCAACTGGAGGACCAGGACACGGAGATCGAGAGGCTCAAAGCGGAGGTATGCATGAGTGCATCCACATCTGCGTGTGCACAAACCGCGCTCAGATGGAGCACGTTGAGATCAAAGCAGGCAAAATGCCCCAGGCCTGATGAAAAGACACTTCTGTTGAATTAAAACACAGCAGGCCTCCAATGATTCTAAGAACCGTTACTTCCCTATCTAGATGTTTATTTTTGTTGTAAGGGGTTTCATGAATATTTGATTCTTTGCACCAGTGCATCCACATACAAACTGTTGTTGTTGTAGATTGTGGTGCTGAACAAAGCCAAGGAGAGGATGCTGCCTTATCAGAACAACCAAGAAGAAGAGGACCCAGATATCAAAAAGATTAAAAAGGTAAAGCATTGTCACTCTGCTGCGATATGAAGGAATTAAAAAAAAAGAAAATAAGATTACAGAGGCCCATGAATTGTGTGACCATTGCAGGTGCAGAGTTTTATGCGTGGTTGGCTGTGCAGGAGGAAGTGGAAGATCATCGTCCAAGACTATATCTGCTCGCCACACGCAGAGAGCATGAGGAAGAGGAACCAGATTGTGTTTAACATGGTGGAAGCAGAGACGGAGTACGTCCACCAGCTCTCCATTCTGGTGAACTGCTTCCTCAGACCTCTGCGCATGGCTGCCAGCTCCAAGAAACCCCCCATAAGCCACGACGACGTCAGCAGCATCTTCCTCAATAGGTAAAAAACCCATCTTACTCCAAAAGAAGGGGTCAGGGGCCCCCTGGGGGGTTCGGAAACACAGACTGAGGAGTCACAAATTGGTTTTTACAATCATTTCTGTGTTATATAGAGGGACAAAATACATAATGAAATATATAATAGGGGATGGCCCTTGAAAGAGATAAATAAATGGGCCATGAAAGAAGTTATGGAAGCTGATTTCTGCCAGTCTAATGAAAAAACATCACAATACATCAAAAACCTTTTAGGTTCAAGTTCAATTAATTTCCATCATAAATAGTTTTGATCAGAGAAACATGATTATGTGAAGGAATCACAAAAACAATATCAATGCTCAATTTAAAATAAAGCCTTGCTTCTTTTTTAGGACTTAAATACAAAATAGTATGCAGAAGTTATTTAGAAACTGTCTTTTTATTTTTAAACAAACAAATCTCTCATATTGTAAGAATAGAAAAAGTACCGTAAGATACAAATTAATTTAAACGTGACAAGAGATGTTTGCATACGAACCAAACATTGTTTATTCCAGTAAAGAAGTTACAACACTCTAAGCCAGGGGTAACCAACTAAAAATCAGCGGGGTCCGAATAATTAAAATCATCCACCAGTAAAGGTCCTGAGATGTTTTTAATTATAATCTGTTACTTTAAGCAGAATTAAACACAGAAATAAAATGAAGTGTTTATGCATCTGTTTTATTCATTAAATAAAAAAAAATAATAATAATCTTAGGAAAGCCAAAGTGTTTTTTGAAGTAGAGAACAACAATCGTTCAGTTTGGTATATAGACAATTTCCTGATTCAAATATTTTATAAAACACCTGAACTGAAAGTTTATTTATTTATTAATCTTTTTTCTGTCTTAATGTTGGCAGTGGGCTTTATGCTGCCCTGCAAGGCTTTAAACCTGGGTTTGAATGGAGACTAAGCCATTCTAAAGCACATATCAAGGAGCTCATTCTGAGCCTGGATCCATATTTATTTTTGATTCTGTTCATGGTGGAGAATCCTGCTTCACAGCAGAAGGTTGAGCCAAACATCCTCTAAATGTTCAGGGTCATCTTTGAGCACCATTTCACTTTTCTTTCACCAGTTCACCACAGTTCTTCCAGCAGTCCACACTTTCTCTGCTCTCTTTTTCTCATCATCTTCTCCTTCTTTCCCATCGCCCGGCTTGCCACAGGTTTGCCTGCTGTGTCTAAAAGTAGCAGCAGCAGCAACCCAGACTGACAGCAGCTCATTGGTTCATTTGTATCACGTGCAGCCTGGAGCCGGACGCTCTGGAGGGCTTTACCGTATTAACAGGAGAAGGGGTGCAAGTGAAATTATGCAATGTCGTTGGAAAACATGCGGTAATTTATATGTTTTAAATCAGGTTCGGACTGGATTAGCTAGCAGGCGGGTCCGTATCCGGACTGCGGTCCACTAATCCGTGACCTCTGCTCTAGGTGTTAAATCACCATGAGTGTCCTTAGAGTAATGCAAATGAAACAATATATATCTTATCTACAAAATTGATCCCAAATAAGTAACATTAGTACAGTGTTGGACCACAGCTTAATGTCAGAACAAAAAAGTGGCCCTGAGTTAAAGACCAGGTTAATTAGCAAACAGGCACAAGGGGGCAACAGAGAGCAACTAAAGACTGCATACATATACATAAAATAGAAAAGAAACGAAAGATCCAAAAGGGGAGAACCATAAACGGATCAATTTATTTGGTAATATACCCAAACCTGGACTACAAGCAGATCCAAAGGTACAGTAAGTGCAAGTGAAGCATTTGATAGGATTGTCAAAAACAAGAGTCCACAGCGATGAAAAACAAACTTGGATCTGAACAGTAGTTTTAGACAGATGTGTTTTTGGTTTCACTTTTTTTTTTGTTTAAAATCTTTTTCTTGTTTTTTGCATTGTTAAAATTATTTTTCTGTTTCATTTTTTTCTTTCAGTTTCAAAAGGAATGAAACTGGCCCCAATTGCTATTGCTATTTTTTGTTTTCCACGTAAAAATAGTTCTATTTAATTGACTTCTACTTCTAGAAATAGGATAAAGACAGAGTAACACTATTTATATTGATTCTATTTTTTTTAGATTTCCACACAG